AGGGTCAGTGTAAGATGCAAAGATCTAAAGAGACAAATGCACTGAGACGTTGAATTTAAAAATACTACTAAAAAATGAATGAGCAAGAAAATTAAAAAAGATTTAAAAATACTAAATATTAAATAAAGCTAAATACTAATATTACGAGCAAATTTAAAAAGGCAAATTTCAAATCGAAAAAAGCATTACTGGGTTACTGATAATAATAACAATAATAATAGCATCAATTTCAATGATAATAGTAATAACAATAACAATAATAATAATAATTGCTGTAACTGAGAAATAGTGTAGAAATAGGGCAGTCGCTGTTTTTGCCAAAGTAACATTTCTGTTGGAATTCAACAGCATTTGCTTGTCGGAAAAGACCATGAAAATACACGACTTTTTGCTGTTCAAGCTTTGTGCGGTTTGCACGGGGAATAAAATTCACATGCTGAACTAGGAATGCATTGCGAATCTCTTGTAAGAGCAGCAAAATCATTGCTTCGCGGGTCACTTATTTCATACTTTAAACAATGCTTCCAATATGAAATAAATAGTCCATGGATGACTACAACTTAAATTCTCACACGTAGAGCTAAGAAAAAAAGTGGTATTGATAGCCTCGTTAGTAGAAGTTATGCTCCCATCTCGCTGTCTATCGAACATCGATCGCTGATGCCGAGCAAGTATAATTCCTTGATGAATTTGAAATCCAGAATGATTTTAATCAAAGGAACAAATTATGTTTCGAATGTGGCATATTCGGACGCATCGACCCAATTCCCCAGTAATAAATGCTTGCTTGAGGGCCGGCGCAGGGCGATGCTTATCTAAAATCATCAACAATTTTATCGCAAAAAAAAAATGTTTTGCTGAGGTATGCTTGAAAAGATGTTGTATTTTAGAAATTTACAAGACAGGTCTGAGCAATCACGAAATGAGAGCGATTTTTTTTTTGACAGTGCTTGCCTGCAGTGTCAATTGCCGTTCGGACAGCTAATTGACCAACATTGGTTGTTCGAACAGCCAACTGACCGAATACCTTCAAACACATTATCCAAGTGAATGGGCAGCAATTCTTCATTGATTTAGCTTATCGAAAACGTGCCACCCAGATAGCTAAATTAAGTCCCTCCGATCGCGATCATTCATGCCAGCTCAGTAAAATTCTCCAGAAATAGCTGCTGATCTGGCTTCAGCAGTACCAGAGTTTGTCTCCTTTGAATCACTGGATTTCAAATAAGTTCGCATGCGCTGGAGCAGAAAAACGCTTTTTAAGCTAGCGGTGTTTCAAATTCACCACAGCAGCTGCATTCAGTGCGAGAAAGAGTTGGTTACCGACAGAGAAAACCACTGTCATTGTTGCACTCAGTTGACCGTATTTCACTTTCCGTAAGGAACGAAGGCATCGGAAAGTAATCCATGTGGCATCGCGTGCCATCAGCAGTCACTCGTTGACAAGCTCGTTGATGACGCCCGCTTTCGAAAATTGCTTAGAAGTAAGGTGATGGTGAGTTTAACCCCTGATACGCGCTGTTAGCAATTAACCATTAAATCGAATGAAGGATCGAGATAGTTGTCTCACTGGCGGGGACGAAGCCTCGATCTGCTGCATAAAGACAATGCTGCTTGCCATCACATCATGCCCGCCTCCTATTGTAAATGTATTATTCCAAAAAAATTCTGAGCTATGCTATTTTCGTTTTCCAAATAATTTTGGCAGTGCTACTGCGGTATACAAAACGATTACTGTCACACCAATTTTTCGGTCTAATTTTGTGCACTGAAGTATCTGCTTTCAGCGTTGTATTACTATTTGCCTTTGTTGAAGTGACATAATCGCATGTTCCGTATCGTATTATTATTGTTGTTATTACAATAACACCTATCTATAATTTTACAGTTCAGTTCCCTGTGAGGGGCTGATTACTGAGAAGGACTCCGGATGACACACTGTTTTATTGGAAAGCGAGTGAAATTGCATTATGTTATTCTCTGCAGCACAGTGAAAAGTACTGCGCAGTTTGGTTGAAAATATGAAAGAATAACTGAAATGCAAAAAAAAAACATAATTGTAAAATATGCCAGTATTACCAAAACTGTCGGTATGAGTATCTCATATTAGTGATGTCACTGGTATGCTACTCTCAAAGCTGCCCTAAACCATTATTGGGACTGAGACCACATTTAATATAGTTAATTTCACAACTATTACAAAAATGCGAGGCGCCCCTCTTTTCTCAGTTTGTTTCTTGCTTTCTTTCTTTTGAATTTGAATTAGCAGAGCTTCCTTTTACTGTTGAAAAAAAAAACCCCAATATCCACATATAACCCTATGTCCATGATAACCCGATATCCATATTCCATTATCTTTTACTGCCTAATATCCGTATTTGACGCCTGATACTGTAACAGTTTCAAGAATGAA